AACGGTATGTATGTATGTATGTGTGTGTATATATACAGAATTGCAAGAGACCATCTATATACACACACACACATACAAGAGGTGGACAAAAATATGGAAGTAACATCCTAGTTTGAATAGGAACCAGAACTCTTTTTTGAGCAACACCAATTTTTACTCTTCTGGACCACACTTCCCTCCTCCCTTGTAATCAAGTTCACATTAAAAGGTGTTAATTGGCTAAACTTTTCTATTTGTAAAAAACAAGAACAATGTACTTTAAAGTAGTTTCTAATTTTGGTGCAAACCAAATCCCAACTTTCAAGTGCACTCTTAACAAGTAAATTGTTATTACAAGATTAATTGTGGACACCAACTGTGGTGAGCAGAAGGGACAGTTCTCTCTTTCAAGAAGCTTAGAAGTGACTGACAATGAAAACCAGTTTTATGCTATTACTGTGTGTGCTTTAAAACTATAGTATATTTCAATTCCAGGATAAATATTATTCCATTTTTACTTTCTAAAAATCCAAGAGCTTCCACTGATTGCTAGATCTTTAAACCTCCATAAAAATTTGCCTCCTACAAAATTAAACTTTGAATGGAATTGCTAAATATTACCTAATTTCCAGGAAAGAAAATAGCCATCATAATAGGACCAAAATGTTGTACTACTTGTAACTTTTTAGCACTTTATTAGCTCAGGCATTAATTATGTATCTGGGAAGATGTTTTAATAATCCATTTTTTATGTTTTTTGTTAGTTTCTTTCACTTTTAGTGATATATTGTTTCTTTTGTAATTTTTACTTCAGCTGTGGTAATATTCTTATCATATCTTTTCTGACAGGGAATCAAAATAAAGACCAATCAGGTAATGCTGGTATAAGAGCTGTTTCTGATCTCTTTCGTCTGATATACCTTCTTCTTCTGGTGAAATTTGTCAAAAATGTGTGAATAAACGTAATGTTCACATGGAATTCTCAAGATATACACCTATTCTTCCAAAATCCTTAATCATGGAACTTAACAAGACACAACAACAGAGACTTGTCTTGAATTTTAACACTAGAATACATTGATTTTGTAGAGTGGTTATCCATGATCTTTATTCTTCACAAAACCTTGAGAAACACTTACTCAAAAGGCAGCTGTTTATAATGATCTGAGTGGAATGATAAACTTGTCTGTATGAAAATAAGGTGTGGTTGTCTTCAAAACACTGAAAGGATGCTTTACCAAATTAAATATTAAAAGAAGGAACATCATGTTTTAGTATACTATTATATATTTAAATTTCATTATTTGGAAATAATTTTACAAAGTGATCTAACAAAATCTGTTTAAATAACAGAATGAATACTGAGTTTGAATCTGTCTAACATGAGCTAAGTATAATTAGGTTTTTAATATTGTTGTAATGTTCTTTATTATATTTGTGATTGAAAGTTGATAGGTTTTGAAGTTATGGACTTTCAAGTTAAAGTTAAAATAAAGGATGTTATAAAGTCAAGAGAAAAAGAAAGATATTTTTTTGTGAATCTTCTGTGTTTCAGAACTGCTGTTTTTCTGCACAAAGAAAAAAATACTTATTTAATACAGAATATTTAAAACAATAAATTGATTATTGTTAGAGTTTACAGATCTGGATGTTTGTTTAAGAATCAAAATTAAACATTTATTAGAACTTGAATTGAAAGGGCTAATTTTTGTTATTATTTATTCATGATTTTTATAAGTACAAACATTATCTAAGGCTTTATGAGCATAAAACACCGAATTATCAAATGTAATGTAGCCCCAACTAACTCAGCTTCCTAGACCTAATAATTTAAAACAAATAAAAACATTTTATTAAGAATAATAATATTTTCAAAATACTCATACACTATAAAAGAAAGACTTAAAAATTGATGTTCAATTTACCATTAAAATTTTAGTTACAAAAGAGCACAACATGTTTTGATGAAGTAATATATCATTTTATGTTAATCAGCAAAAATAATTTCATTAGTTTTACAGTAGGAAAATGTGGCTTATCTTCTTTGTAAAGAAGTAAACTTGGATGTTTTTAGCCTGTTGTAGCAAAAGAAATATTTAACAAACTTATTGTTACATTTTGAACAGTACTAAGCAAGAATGTTTCTGTTGTATGCAAATACAGACTTTTTGTTAACAATGGAGTACCTGCATATTCAAACTATTTATATCAACCATCATTTGGTTTGATCTGTTTTTTAAAAAAAAAATTATATGTTAATAGAACAATTATTCAGAATTAGAATAAATCAGTAAATCTGAGTGGATCAGTTTTGTTGTAATAAAATGAAAACTCAATACAAAAGGTGTTAGAATGAAAATCCTATACACCAAGAAAGCTAGTAAAAATATAATGACAACTGTACAGTTTATTTATGAGACATTTGTGTTAACATGTGGTTTTGAAATTAGCTGTAATATGACATTGTTCTATGGTAAAGCAATTATAATAAAAAAAATTGATATAGTGTAATTTTCTTTAGTATTTGTTATGAAACAAATAAAAGACTCACTACTAAAATGAACAGTGCATGTAGTAAAAGATTTTAGATAAAATTCAACTTCACATTTTCACTAAAATAATTTTTAGCCATTTTACAGAAATTTATAGGTTAATAAATCACAATATTTGGAATAAAGAAAGAAAGAAAAATATAAACGTTATTGTTTGCTATGTCAACCTACAGACAAGAAAATCAAGAATTTCAATGGTCAGAGAAATAAGAAAGGTGAGACAGACTTCTCAAAAATAAAAAAATATACCCACTTTTTTAGTGGTCAAACAAAATAAAACATAAAAATTAACATGAATGAAAGGCAAACTGAATACAAAAAGCAAAAGAACTAAATTAAAGTAATATGATTTAAGAGATTGAAGCTTAAGATATGGAGAAATTTGTAAAATTAAAGTTTATAGTGGAAATTAAAATCACAAAATATAGCTCATGGGTTGTTTTGCAAACACTGAAAAAGACAAAAAACAGAGTCACTTATAACTCCGTCTTATATGTCTTTTAAATTTAAATTTAATCTCTTTAACAACTCATACCAACTTTATAAATAATATTACCTCTAATTATATTGAGTATGACCTGGTTCAGACTGCTCTCCCACTATAGATAGTTGTTGGTGAAGTGCTACCAGTGTCCAAGTAACCAATAAGATGATAGAGACTTTCTGGATTGGCAGTCACTATAAAACAATGCACTAAGGAGATATCTTTGTATGTGATTTCTAATGTACATCCTGGTTTGTAAGTAAAACATAAAAAAATCATGTTTATTTTTCCAACTTAAAACTAACGTCTATAAATGAGCATAGTTTCTGATATTTACGTGCCAAATCTCTTTCTCTCCCCTTAACTTACTTCATCCTCAAGCTGACTTTACTATAAACCTTATTAATAAATCTATTAAACCATATATCTATCTAAATCTCATGAGCATACTGCTAACTAGACTGAACAGGACGAGGATAGAATTAAAATATCACAGAATTCACAACATGATGTCACTCAGAGTGACACAACAGCATATATGTAATGCAAAATATTCTTAAATGCAATACATTAACAAATATATAAGCACTAATCAGTAGGCAGAAAGTACATTATAGATTATAACTTTACTTTTTAAAAAACAAGTTTAAACAAAGTCTAAGCACAGCAATTGAATTTTTTGGATTTGAGATGTTTGGTAAAATGTAAGCATATCTAGTGTCTTCGAGATCTGATCGAATTTAATTAAGACCAGTCCTTGACATCCAGCATATTTGAGTGGAGTGAAAGCAATAAACAAGTTCTTAGTTTTTGGGAAAACGTAACTCATCATGTAGAGTAGGTAGTGTCCACTAACATGTCATAAATCTGTTGTTATGAACATAGAGGATTGTATAAGAATTTTACTAGCATGCATCATCTCCAAATTTAGGTCGTGAAATATTTAATCTGTGGATGGCTGCTAGCGGGCTGTTCAGCTTTTGGGCATCTCCATAACACTATTGTTGCGTCATCGAGATCATGTGATTCTCACGCTCTCTACTTTCTAGAATTATCCTGTACTTTGGCGAATGTT